GCTGGTAGTGGTTAAGATGATAAATTATTTCCATTTTCAATCACTCACTTGGTCTTTTTTCCACTAAATTTCTCAATTTTAGAAGTTTTCCCAGAACACTGAGACACTGCATACAACAATACTACACAATACAATCAGTTCTATGTAGCTAGATTTTTTTGTCCAACTTTCACGAGTTATATTTGATACTTCTGCGCAGCGGGATCTATACGTGTTTTACATGCACAAAACCGATCCAGCCATGTACTGTACATGGTACACTGTACCATGTACATGTAGCAGTACATGTACGTGTACATGAGCATGTACAGGTACACACAAATTTTCGACGGAACTGGTATAGATATTCATGTAGTTCATGCATGTATAGTATATTTAAAACTGGAAATGTATACCGTGAATTTCAACATTTTCCAGGCAATTTTAATGACAGACAGACCTCGGTTTCAACAATAAACTTCATGTTAACTTACTGTACTTTTGTGTTCGTCTTTTGCTCCTGAGTCACAGAATTCTTATGCTTGCAAGGCCGTAAGATTATGCGGGATGAACGGAATCAGTGCTGAGTTGGGTCAATATGCAAACGTGTCCGGTCGGGAAGAGAACAAAATATAGCGCAAACCGTCAGCAAATCTAAAACCTTCACACCTTTCTCCACCACAGCCCACTTTTGAAAACTTTTGAATTCTTTGTTTTGAGCCTTCAAAAATCGCATCAAAACGTAAACAAACTACCGCTTACGAAAAGAGCTTTTCACAAAAACATGTCAGGGAAAAGGCCTTATCTTACCATGAAAATATTTTGGGCAAGAATTTTTTTTAAAAGTGAAATAAGATGTAAATTTCTTGAAATGAAACAGCTGTTTGCCTGGCACTAATTCCCATGGTCCTCATTACGCATGCAAATGACCCTAAAACGGCACATGCGCAATTAATAATTTCCCTCTGTAACATATGTGCCATCTACTTCAGCCAGGCCTGCTGCCTTGTAAAGAGAGCCCAGATTGTGCGGTGTTGCGTAATTTTCTTTTGTTCTCGAAACTGAAGCAGTTCGCTGCTGGCGTCTTTTTCAATAGGGCCAGATTAGCATGCAGTGGTATTGTGTTGTTCAGCACTGTAACACTGGAAGGCTTTCGTCCAAAGTTGTAATCCTTCGTATTGAATGCCACAAATAGTGGTATAGTGTTTCAAAAAAAAAGACAGATTACCTCCGCCATTGACAACTGAAAAAATGTTCTTCAAGTCCCAGCAGCTCGGTCTTTTGTTTAGAGTGTGGTCTTTTGCTTCAAGACCCAGCTTCTTTGTCCGATTTCGGGCTCCCTGGCTATGCATCCAAACATAAGGTGCCTGATACCGGGTCCCCTAGTGCGGAGTGGTTAAATTGGCAACTTCAAGTAGGGTTGGACGGACTGCTTCGGAAATGTAATTTTACCATATAATGAAAAAAGCATATGTAGCAAGGTATGAGACGGAGAGAACCCCCCCTGCTTTGTGTTGGTCACTGTCTCGCAGGAATCTGGGGAATTCCTTGCAGACATCTTGGGGGATGTGTTAAGTAACAATAGTCTGGAATGTGTATAGGGATTGGACATGTTGGGGGGGTACCCCCCGGTCTCATTTCTTGCTGGGTATAGAAAAAACACCAAGACAGTGTTGTGATTCTAAAGGCCCAGGTTAACTTTTTCAGATTCACACAATTCACAAAAAAGATACAGAGATATGTACAACTGCAGACCTGCCAACCTTGACATATTTTTTCAAGTACCACATCGGCGAAGCAGCATAAACCATAATCCCAGTGCACGGTGACATAACCAAGAAAATGTTCGCACAATGCTTACACATAATCAGAAAAAATCACACCACCTGTGCAAAGCTCAATGCATTAAATGAAGCTGCTCTGGTTCCCACTGCACCGCATCCATGCAAAGGAATGCACGATGGAAATGTAGGAACCAAAATGTTTGTACAGCACATGTACTGAACGTTCTGTCCATGCCCTCTCTACATCGGCCGTACATGTCACGGATGCAACCCTAAGGCTGCAAGTCAAAAAGACATCTATGTTGCAAGAGGTTTTCTGCAAGTTAATTCACAGAACTTGGTCTCTTATTTATGTATGTATTTTTCTGCTTCCATGAGTTTAATTTAAGGTTGTTCTGCTCGTGGCTCAAGGTTTATCGCCCGCTGGTTTGGATGCATCTGCTTACCACGCGATACACAGACATTGTTGGCCAGTTTGCCTTCACGATTGCCTGAGTAGCACTGTGTGAATTGTCCATAATTTTCTTGTGAATAGAAATTTTTACACAGATTAAGACAGGTGTTCATCACATCTTGGTCTGGACTGGTTTTGCTCAGACGTCCAACCACATGAATTATGCCATCACCGGACTTGAGAAGCACGTCACTGAAGGTGGTCTTCTGGTGGTCGTGGTCATGTGGTGTACACAACAGGATCTTCCTTTACCTCCAAAACACCTGATAGCGACTGAGTAGCAAAATCTGGTTGACATGGCCAGTGAGATTCGTCACAGAGTAGGAATTGCGGACCTTGCACCCAGCACTCACTTTCAAATCAACTCGTGCTGTAAGGCCATGTGAAACATCATCCGCTGGATTGGCTTTACTATCGACGTGTCTCCACTGCTGTGGGGTTGAATGGTCCAAATTCTTGTGACATGATTGGTTACAAAGGTCTGGTACCTTTTGTCGTCATTCTTCAGGTAATATAGCACAATCATGCTGTCGCACCAATAGATTGCCTCCTGAAGTGGTTGTGTCAGGTGCTGATGGATCATCTCATTCAACTTGACATAGATGACTCCAGGCGCAGGATTGTTGTTGCCTTCAGCGGGGCCAGCTTGGCGTTGGCCATTAGCAGCACATAGTGTATCAACTGAAGATGTCGGTAAGTTGTAGCGCCATATCCCCTCTCGGAGCCATCTGAAAAATGGTGTAGCTGTGCTGACATGACGGCATCAAAACTGAGTGACTTGACGCAACAGGGCATTGACAATTTTCGAAGCTCTAGGTCATTCACCCATCGGACCCAATGCTCTGCAATGTCACAGGGATTAGTTCATTCCATGCAATCTTTGTTCTGCATAACTGCTGAAGGAGTATCTTGGTGGTGAGTACAAATGGGCTGGCAAATCCTCAAGGATCATACACTGAAAATTACGCTCAGAAGACCTTGTCGTGTTTGTGGCTTCTCCCCCATGTGTACGTCGAATGTAAATGCATCAGCCTCAGTGTCTCACAGCAATCACAAGGCTCTTTCTGCAGGCATCATCTCATCCTCAAAATCCAATGATGGAACTCTCTTTGCCCGTTCTGATTCAGGAACTAACCTAAGCACAACACAAGAATTTCTTTAAATGCAATTGAGCTTAAGCCAACTATTCTTTCTCATCTAACTGTTTGTTGGGGGGTGTACTTGTGAAAGGTGCAGAGGAAGCTCTCCGGTGCCTGAATGCAGCCATGCATCAAAGTAGGATTGCAAATTGTAAACATCCTCGGTTCACAATACAGTGAAAACTGGGGCCACGGTGAGCATTTTCTTCTAACCGAAAAATTGGGTGAGTAAAAACGATTTTGTTTGAAGTAGAATGTTAAGCATGACTGGACCCTACCTCAGCAATGTTTTAACAACATTTACTACATGTATGCATGGCCCAAGTACTTAGCCCTTCACGGCAGGATTATTTTGGACACGACTGCTGGGCTGTGGTATGCCCTGAATGGAGGGCTTTGTCCAGCAGCAGGCCCCATAGAACCAGCAGCTGCATGGTGAATAGACTGTATGTGTAGTATGCACTAATTCTCACACAATGGTGCAGTGGTAGTAGCAGTCTTCCGTAGCGAAGGGGTTAAAGTATGCCTTCTGGTAGGTCCCCCCATATTGCTGATAGGCTGATGTATATCTTAGACTGCTGTAAGAGTGAATGTGCCAGTGGAATAGGGATACGCAGTCAGAAATGCAACAAGAAAGTAAAGACTTTTATTATGCTAACTCTGGTGGTTAAAATTGTGTTGAAATGGTGTTTTGTTACACCTAATGTTGGCCTGTCAAGCCTGTGTGGGCCTGTCCCCCAGCCAGTCAACCCAAATAAGAATGAATTGAAAGAATACAGTATATTAAAATGAATTTTGGGTTTGAATTTCTTGTTAGGTGATCCGCCTGCCAAGAGCAGAGAAGTTTGAACAGTATGGCTAAGTTGTCCACTAGTGCCAGCACTAAGCCTACTATATCTGTTACTCCAAGTGATGTCCCAAAGTCGACGCATCTGACATCTGTGAGAACAGTGGTGTGCCTGTAATGCAGACCAGTAATGAGAATGGCTGCAGGAAATGGACAAAAACACTCCTATTTTCACTGTGATGTACCCAAGGCCAAGCTGCCCCGTCATCTCCAGTCATGTCACACAACAAGGCTAACCTTGACGGTGCATCCAGCATCCGGTCCACCAAACTTTGTAAACATGTAGCAACTGCATGTAAAATTCTCACATGAAAGGAACATCAACTCAAAACGCTAGCAAACTTCAAAAGCACTACCAGTTGCAAGATACTGTACAGCGGGTCATCAAACTGTAAAGACTTTTCCTGAGTTTAGAAAGGGGCAACTTGCTTTCCCAGAGGGACAAAAACTTCAATGTAACTGGACGTAGGGGTACCCTTGCACTAAAACCATGTTTCCCATGTCTAATTGACTTCAAGCAACAAACCTGAACCCAAACTTTTAAGGGGATCTGACCCTACCTAACACATTTTGTTTCTTCCAAATCCGACCCCTCCCACCCCCGAAGACAGAAACACAGACCAATACCAACAAAGAAGAGGAAAAAATGACAAAAATATATTGCACTTGCCCAAACAACTATGAAAATAGTGTTCAATTTTGGCCAGCCACATCCAACATTTCCCAACCCAACCCCATGCAGACTGCCGCATACCTGTACATGTATGTGTGCTTTAATTGATGGATTTCAATGCTCTTTGTTTACTCACAGAATGCTTCAGCAGTGACGAAGACAGCAGCTAGAGCCGGGATATCAGTCAAAGCAGTGAATTCATTGAAAATGGTAAGATTTGGCAAATTTGTCCGTCTGTTTTTTGGATGGGCTGTCTCCATCAGGCTGTCACCTAACTTTTTTATGTCCTCTTCTTGCCTGTACATTAATAGGACAGCTTCTTGGCACCACACCATGCAGCTGAAAGGCATCTCCAACATTGAAATGAGTGAAGCATTGTCCCTGGACTACAGAGGAGAAGAAAGACGTCACAGATGGCCTGCACAGATTGTTCCAGTTAAAAAACTTCCTGGCACATGCGACATTGAAGCAGCTTGCTCTGTGGCACTGCAGACCAGAACTTGGAGGAACATCAACGACTTTTGTAACAACACAATAAAGCTCTAGCCAAGCTAAGCGTTATCTATCATATGTGGCACAAACCATTTTTAAAAGACTTTATATCATATTGATGATATATCCTACAGCAGCACGCCAGTAACACAAAATAATTTAAATGGCCAAAACAACAAAGTGCTGATGTGTGTTGTCCTCAGTGCTATACGCTACACTCACATGATTGAGATGTCCTCTGTCTAATAGAGTGGCAAGTATATCCTCCATGTGCACTCACTATATGTATGACTGTGTGCACCAACCTTACATTCATGTACATGTACATAGGGCGGACTTGTGAACAAAAGATGTCCACACAATGCAGGAGGAGAAGCCGTTCTGTGTGTGTGTGTGTGACTCACCAGGCATTGACCTTGTTAGAGATTCTGGATCGCCAAAACAGACTTGGAAAATCCCTCCTGACACAGTTCCACAGCATATCGCTTGTACCCTCTCCCTGGATTTAACAAAAACAAATTCCACTGAGAATAGCAAACAATATATTCTTAAAATAACACCTATGCAAAAGTGCATATAGAGGAAATTTGCACATTTGAAAATAGATTTTTCAAAAATATTCAAGTACACTTCTAAAAGATACCGTTTCAGTATGAAACTACAAGAGGAAAAGCACACTCTGAGTAGTACATGTACATGCAATCATGCAGGCCTACCAATGACTCTTTCAACTGTTGTAAGGAGTAACATTACTGTACACTTTGCGTACAGTGTAAATATTGTGCACATTATACCTTTATTCTATCATAACATTATAAGCTGTAAAGGGGCCGCAAAGTCAATGAATTGAATACAATTTGTATATGGGTAATTCCAGAAATTAGGGTCCTTTTTTGGTGTCCATGTCACATCTAACATATGATTTGTAAGTTCCCAACACAGTTTCTACTTTCTGAGAGTGATGAATCCGGGCGTTTCACAATAGTGCACCACCAAGAGTTTGCAACGCGTTGGCCAATCACAATGCGCGAAATCTGTTGACCCATTGCACAGTTGGAAAGGGTTGACAAATTTCGCACTTTGTGATTGGCCAAGGCGTTGTAGACTCTTGGTGACCCACTATTGTGAATTGCCCATATTGATGCAAATTACCTGCCAAACAAATACACGTAGTAATAGTTTGAAATCCAGTCTGGTGATATTTCCATGTCAAATAACAAAGGTCAGATGTAACAGGGACACAAAAATGTCACACATTTGGACCCCTCATTTCTGGAACTACCCATATTACTATGTAAAAAAGGGTACTTGTATTTCAATCATGTACTATATCTTGAATACAAAGTATTACAAGGTAAATTTCAGTAAACCTTGAAAATTTGATGGATTACCCTGGGTTTTCCTACTGGTCCAACGCTAACTTGTGCACCCTGATGAGAAAAAAAGGTGAGCTAGCCTCCCCAATAGGCTTATTGGACCTGCTTTCATTCATGACATATGGTAAAAATCTGGCATAGTGCCACAAATGACACAGACCTCCTGTACAATATGGGCAATTCACAATATGTAGTGCGCCACCGAGGGTTTGCTGTAAACAGGCCACTTTTCAAGTTTACGGATGACACACTGCCACAATTACGCGCACTTTGTAAGTAATTAAAGGTTATTTATTTGATTGATATTGATGGATTGATGAATTCCCTGCACCACACAAAACCACCATTTTAACAACCTACCACCCATTCGCAATAAGCAATTTCCTTCCCCACATTAAGTGTAGGTTGGGTTTACTGGAATATACCGACCCAAACAGTCACTACATATGCCATGCGCCTATTTATTATTTGCTGAAAAGATTCAATTATCCGTGGTGCACCATGACCTCCCATAAAGCAACTCATAAGGGTCAGAGCCTAAAGTGGGTGGGAGAGGACTGTTTGGGTAAGTGTGCTCTAGTAGACCTGACCCACACTTAATGTGGGGGAGGAGTCTACAGTGCTCTACCTACCTAAACAGTCACTACAAATGCAGAATTGCACCGACTGGGGGGTCAGCAACGATCCAAAAGTTAGTCATGAGCACAATAATATGAACTAAGTGGTGTCAGTTTTGCAGTCGAGTGACCAATGTCGAGTCCCGAGTCTCAAGCCTCGAGTCTGAGTCCAAGTCTTAAGTCACAAACCTTAAGTCTAAGTCACGAGTCACAAGTCATGAATGAAGTTGTTCAGCCAATTATTCTAAGTATATGAAACCATGGAGAAACATCCATGATCAAAGTCATTAGTTTGTTGTGTGCTATCTGTTTTGTTTATGCTGCTTAATGACCTACATTGCAAAAGCTATGGTACTTTTTGCTAAAATCATCCACCATTTATACTTTCAATTCCATAATCTTCGTTTATTTCTATATTTATGGAATGAAGTGCTGGGCTGGTTTTAAAGTACATTTAAGACAGGCTGAGGAGAATGCATGAGCTGAAGCTTAGGGTATTTAAAAACCTTTTACAGTCACGCCCAGCACAGGCCACGTATTTTGTATTTACAAGCGCGCCTGGTCATTTTGGTTAAAGTGTTTACATTTGCAACTGGTTCTGGAGACTATAAGGCTGAATATGTACGTCTGTACAGTGCATAGTCTTACTACCGCACAGTTTGTGGATACGGCAAAGTGGAAAATGTATGATGCAATAACGCATACAAATTAATTTTCAACGGCGTATACGGTAAATATATGTAATGAAAATACGTGAGTCACAAGTCACCAAGCTCAAGTCCGAGTCATCGTGCTTGAGTCCGAGTCATCAAATGTGACTTGAGTCGAGTTCGAATCATGAAAAAAAGGGTGACTCGAGTCCGAATCAAGTCTGAGTCCTGGACTTGAGTCATACAACACTGAGTGGTGTACAGTCGACCACAGATAAGAAGAGCACTGTTAACCATTTCCTGCCGGGGGCATTTATAAATGTTGATTCTGCTGGGCCAGAGCATTTTTCATTTTTTATTCAAAATTCTTTAAAAATTCAAATCTTCATTTACTAGACACACCGACATGAAGGACTGTTTGGTTCTACTCTAATCTGACAAACAACATCCATTGACACAGGAATATTTCAGTCAGTAATGTAGGGGCAAAGTAAGAAAAAACAGTGCTCGACAGTTTGCTAAGGCAGTGTAAGGTGCTAAATTTTCGGCTCTACTGGGCCTTCTTCAGAGCTGTGGGGGCACTAGTGATTTGAATGCAGAAAATTCCACATTCAAACCACCTGGCATCAGTGTTCCAATCTGGAATATGATGCGCTGTTCCGTCTCCAAGCGTCGAGCGTCTGATGTTGTCATAGTTAGGGTACACACGCGCATGTCGTCACAAGCGTGTGGTGCCTTGGTGAAGTGATGCGCTACAGGGTGCCCTGGGAATTGACGTCAGACGCTTCTCAGGTGCTCAGTGAATCGGCCAGCCAAGTGCCGTTTCATTTCACTACAGATACGAAGAAGTCTGAGAATCTGAGAGTAAGGGAAAGAATCCTTGGAAGACCATGGATGGGAGGAGTCGTATCAGAGAAAGCTATGTGAGTCAGTTGCTTTGTAGAACACGGAAAGCTGACAGCCGATCACCCTCAATCTGAAGTTGGACGTTGAGGAAAGAGAGGGTAGTCCCAGAGGACTGTAAAGTGAATTTCAAGCTAGGATGATATTTGCTGACAAAGTCAATCAAGTTGTTCAGTTCCTATCTAGTGGATGATGTTGCACCAACTATGCCATCTATGTACCTCTTGTAGAGTAGTGGCAATGGGCCAGTGTAATTTCTGAACAGGCTAACTTCAACATACCCTATGAAAAGGCAGGCGTAGCTTGGCCCCATGCGTGTGCCAATGGCAACTCCAATTTGTTGAACAAAGTGTCTGCTGTTGAAGGTGAAATTGTTGAGCTTAAGAACCAGCTCTGCAAGACAAACGAGAGTAGTAGACGATGGAGTCAGGTCTGGCCGCTGCTCGAGGAAAAACTGCAAAGCAATCAAACCGTCAGCATGGGGGATGGAGGTGTAGAGAGACTTCACATCCGTAATGAAGAGAGACTCTCTACACCTCCATCCCCAACGCTGACAGTTTGATAGTTCTGCAGTACTTCCTTGAGCGGCAGCCAGGCACGACTCCATTGTCTGTGTGGCTCATCCCTGTGATGGAGAGCGCTTTTGTCCCTGGTGGTAATCAGCTCACACAGAATGCCCCAAATAGTGGTATACTTTTTCAAAAAAATGCTGGATTATCTCTGCTATTGACAGTGAAAAAATGTTTGTAATTTCCAGCAGACTGGTCTTCTGTTAGGAGTACCATCTTTTGTTAAAAGGCCCAGTTCCTTTTGTCCGATTTAAGACTACAAAACCGGGCTCCCAGCAGCAAGTGGTTAACCACTTCCTGGTGGAATTTGTATATGCAGGACAAATTCCCAGGCAATTTCAAGATTTTCCGTTTTCAAAATTCTTCAACAATTTATAACTTCATTTACTGGATGTTCACACCCACACGAATGACTGTCTGGTCCTACTTTAATCTGACAGGCAACCTCCATTGACACCCAAGTATTTGAGCCAGGCTTGCTGCCCAGTAAAGAGAGCCTAGATTGCACAGTGTTGTGTAATTTCTTTTGTTCCAAAAATTAGCCTAGTGTGTTGCAGAATGGCAGTGGTGTTTTTTGGCCAGATGAGCATGCAGCAGAACTGTATCGCTCATTGTTTGAGTGCTGGAGCACTTTTGTCCCCGCTGATAATCCGCTGGATCTGAATGCCGTAAACTGTGTTATACTATTGATGGATTGTCTCCACTAATGCCAACTGAAAAATGATAGCAATTTCCAGCAGCTTGGTTTTTGTTATGAGTACGGTCTTTTGTTTCAAGGCCCAGCAGCTTTATCCGATTTGGGAACCCTAGCTACATGTATGGGTATAAAGCCAACGTCTCCAGTTCCGGGGACCCCGGAGGCAAGTGGTTAAAACAAGAAAACTATTATAGCAAAGCAATTTGAGAGGTCCCAATGGCCTCGTTGTAATGGTGTTCCACTGTACTAAGGAGCAATAAATAATTAACTCACCAAGTAAGGATCTTCAGACTGACTGTCCCTGAATGGGAACATGAAGATCGGTGTCATAGCGATTGATCACTGAAGCCCACGACAGAACAGGAAAGGATTGTGTTACTGTTGCAATGGTCTCCATCCGGAATTTCTTGGGGCGGATGAATTTGTTCAATGGCTTTAGGTAGATGACCGGACGCCATTTGCCTGGATCCTTCTTGGATGCGAGGAAGAAGGTTGAAATGAAGCCGATCCTGAATTGGCTGGATTCGACCTGATGGATGGTTAGGTTTGTAGAAGGGAGTTAATCTCTGAGTCCAGCACCAAGCACCTTGTTGTGAGGAACAGGAGTAGGATGTAATATAGCCTCGGGCAGCGAGGTGCTTATAAACTCAAGTGAATATCCGTGTGCAGGAGTTGAGAGAAACCCAGCTGTCCAAGGTGATGTCCCTTGAGAATCCTAAGAACTGTTGCAGGTGGCCACCAATGGGTTCGGAGTTGGCAGTCACCAACGTACTGTTCAGTCCCTTGTCAAGGCCAAGAAGAGCTTGGGCTGTAGAGTCTGGGGAGACCGTAGTCTGAAGTGGGAGGCTTTATTGAGCTTCGTGAGTGTACAATCCAGCAGGGCTTTATCCTTATCCCAAAAGATTCCCTGAGCAAGTGGTCTTCCCAAGTCCGCACTTATCTTGTCGTTGGCTGCATCGGGAAGGTCTAGAACAGACGGGAAATACTTGAAATCCTCCGTTAAGAAATGGTAGCAAGCTACAGCTCCCTTGGGGAGTGCACGCCAGTGCTTGGCTTCGGGGAGGAATTTAAATATCTCCATGCAGGAGCAATCAAGCGGGAGTTTGTGAACAATTGACCCAGAAGCATCCAGTCGAATCGTATGTCATTTGAACAAGTTGTGATTGGAATCCTCCTCCAGCAGAACAGCTGCGGGCAGGCCGAGCATTTGAATCATTTCCCGTTGAAGAAGATGGAGTCGACCCTCAGCCAAAGTAAGAGCACTGACAGAATCAACCTCTTCCTCTTAGAAGATACCGCCGGTTGTTCAGCTTGGGGACAGTTTCGAGCCCTGCACAGTCCTGAGTGGCATAGACCACTCTTGTAAACAAACGCTTGGGTGGTGCAACCCCAGTGTGGAGTCCTGGTTGAGCTGGGTGGGAGTGGTTGGCCTGCCAGGGACAGGTCAGAGGTGGTGGAGGCTGGAGGTGGTCTGTCGCCGAGGTGACAGACGATGGGGGTAAAGGCTTTATTGACAGATTGAAAGGCCAAAATCCAAACCTCAGAAGTCTGGTCACGCCAGTCAGAGTGGTGCTTCTTGGCAGGTGTGGAGGCACTGGAGTAAGAAGGGGAGCGCTTACATTTGCTCTTCCCATTAGCAGGCGACCCAGCGGTGGAGGTGGCTAATGGGACCACAGTAGGTGGAGCGCCCAGGGAGCGTTCCCAACCGAAGTAAGCGGGAACTCTGGAGCATAAGGCAGAAGCACCCGGGGAAGTAAGGCACGATGGCCCGAGAGGCCCAGTTGAAAGCCAGAACTGCGTATGGGGTGTGGAGGCTTGAAGCTTCGACAACTTAAAAGTCCAGTGGGCTGCACGGCACCTGAGGGAGATTGGCTTGGTGCCATGGTGTTGTGACACAATGGCATACTGGGCAGAGCAGACCCCAGCACTTGTGGATAACCAGGCCTATGAGCTTCAGTCTCTGGGCAAGAGAAAGTGTGCTCAGAGGATGCCGGAGAAGTGGTCTTTTTGACCGATATGGAACGGTGGCTGATGCTCTTCGGAGTCGTCAGGGGAATGCTGGCAGCAGTGCTGCATGTGTTCCTCTAGGACATGGCCGGTGAAGGGCATGGCAAGCTCTCGGTGGCGGTTGGGCGGGATCAGGAGACGTCTGGTAGAGTTCTCCCTTGGGAGTCCACGCTGAATCGCTAGGCCAGCGATTGACCAAGGAGACAGGGGACCGTACTTGATCCTGGCGGTGCCCCTGCTCAAGCAGTCATCCACAGTCAACCACAGAGCTTCCCCGTCAGCTCTGTGGGGCCAAATGAGCAAGGGGGCCTTGCCAGACCCTGGTGGGTATCCCCTGGATGATGGCAGGCCTTTCCCTCATCCTGGTAGCTGGAGAAAACGGGGGTATGACAGACCTGACAGCGAACCCCTAAATTCAGCCGGCTTAGGCCAATAATTTAATGGAAGTAATATCCCTGGTTTTGCTAGGACGAACCTCCTGGTACCGACAGTGAACAACATGCAGGGTGCACGTACAAGAAAAACAAAGAGAATAAAAGAACACAATATACATATACACACCAGAAAAACACTCTTACCACACGAAGTGTGAAAATTAAGGTAATACTTTATTCAAGAAGGATGGATGATCAAATCCACACAGAACCGTGTAGCAAAAACGGAGACTTGATAAATCAAAGATGCCTAGAAAGACACATCCGTTATGTTACACCGTTGAGAAAAGAATGATCATGGCACAGAGACCGCATTGCACGGATGATCAAACCTTTTCAGCAATTAATAAATTTGCATATGTAGTGACTGTTTGGGTGGGTAGAGCGCCGTAGACTTGAATTTTCAACCAAGATAAACATTCTGAAAAATTCAGTTTTCTGCACACAGTGCAATTATCCAGTAAGACTTTGTCAACTATTTATCCCATAATACACAGTGAAAAGGCCTCTCCATTATAACCCCTTAGTTGCGCACTGCATTGTGAATTGTCCATGTTGACTGCAACGAGGAACTACACATATCTCCACATGCCAGTGGTCACAAGTGAACTTTTGCCAAACAGATAGCTTCTATGTGTGCCTTGCTTAAGTGTCAATGAATACTTATTTACCTGTCTCTGAAGACTTATTGAAAACTTGTCAAGATATGGTACATTCAGTCCAGCTTCCTGAGTTATCACAGCCACTGCGCTGTATCCCTCTGAAAGGTAGACAGTATGGAGTCGCCCTTCAAGTTCTTTGAAGTAGTTTTCTTTTAAGACCCTCCCAAAGGACCTGTGCATAACCAGACAAAAAGAAAAAGGTGATTCTGAGAAAATTCTTCCCAGGTTATTTGCACTGATGTAGGAGAGTGATTGCTTGTTCCTCACTTGTGAGGATCGAGGAGGATGGGACAGCCAAGCTTCTACAGGCACAGAGATGGCTGTGGAGCCTGATCCATGTAGCACAGACCCTTCTGCGCTTGGGACAGGTAAAGCCCTGGGTTGAGGTAAGTCTGAGAGGTAGCCTGCCTCTTACACCTCTTCCTCTTGTGTTCAGTAGATTCACCTGTCAGTTTCGAATTTCTTGCTGCCTGTAAGAGTGGTGCCAGCCCACTTTTTCAAGAGTCTCCTGGCACCATGATTGGTGATGGACACCAGCTGGAACAAGCCTCTTCTTGAGCGCTTCTTCGGAGCCCCTCTGTTTCGCTTTCCTTCGCGAAGTTTGTCAAAGAAGACAGCCTTCGGTAGACAGGAGTTCTCTATCCTTGCAACATAGCCTGCCCATCGAAGCTGGTGCGTCAGTGCCGTGGCTTGGATGCTCGGAAGATGTGGAAAGAAAGGAAGGAAGAAAGGAAAGAACTCAAATGTGCCAGGGAGGACAAAGTTGCCAATCTAAAATGGAAAAATACTACTTTGAGACACAACTTGGCAAGGTAGAATGTGAGCTGAAGGGAGGCAGCACCAGCCGGGGAAAGCTTCCAAAAGAGGATCAGTGAGCTAAAAGGACACCTTGACCAGAATGCTAAATATCATGAGCAAGAGATTCGGGAGTTGTGTCAGCAGCTTAAAGATGCCCATACTATCACCGGGGATGCAAACCGGAATATTCAACTACTAGAGGATGCACAAGCTATGCTGCAAACCAAAGCCAAAATAGACTCCTGCAAACAGAAGGCAGAACAGCAACTGCAACAAAAACAGGAAGAGAAACGAGACATTGAAAACAAGTTCGAAAGCCTGAAGGGGCCCTCTCGAGTTGCAGATTCCTATGTCGGCCCCGGCTCTTCCACACTTGGCCTGGTGGTCAGTGAGAGACCCTTTTACAACCCCGAGACATAACGTGGTGATCACAACAGATGCCTTGAACCTTGGCCGGGGCCTGTCTTCACCCCAACAAGCTTTCGGTTTCTGAGGCCCCAACTCCCAACAGGGCTCCCACATCAATCTTTTGTAACTACAAGCAATCTTCAAAGCCCTCCTACACTTATGCTCATCCACAGAAGCAAAGACTGTCAAGACAGGGAACCAGAGTTTGTCTGAGGAGGCCGAGTGTGACTGGATTGCAGGAAAAAAGTGTCTCGGGGCTAGAAGGAAGATGTCTGATTTTTTGTGAGGAACCCTACCGCCGGAACAATAATCGTACCCCAAGTGGTTCCCATCTAATGTGGCCATCAAATACTGAGAAAGCTTTGATTTCACAGCCTCTTTGTGAAGTAACGATGGCTAAGAGGAATGCCAGCTTGATACTTAAACGGAGAGAGGCCCGTCCTGCAGGTTCAAACAGAGGGCCAGCTAGGAGTTGTAGAATATCCCCCAGGCTCTAGGATGGGATGAGCTTCTTAGACGGGGCCTTCTATGAACATTCCCCTGAGAAAGGTGATGGATTGCTGAGTTGTCACAGATTGTTGAACTGTCAGGGAAGCCTCAGTGGATAGGTGCTATGGCTGAATGGTAGTTTCTGATCATGGACACCAGAAGGCCAGAGTTGAAAAGGTGTATGAGAAAGTCAGCTACGACTGAAAGAGGTGCCTTGGTAGGATCTATAGCTTGCCCTTTACACCATGAGTCGAAATGTCGTATTTGGCCTCTGGCGGCCAAGGCAGCAGCGTCTCAAGAAAGGCCTGCCTCTTGGAGTTATCTTTGGAAAATGTCCAGCAGGTTAGGTGAAGGTGAGGCAGGTCCGGATGCAGGACGTGAGACCTGGGTTGAAAGATGAAATCCGGGTGAACTGGCAGGATCAGGGGAATGTCAACCAATAGTCTGACAATGTCTAACAGAAACCATGGTTGCCTCAGCCAGAACAAGGGATGAGGAGGATGTGACAGTTGTCCTGTTCTATCTTGGACAGTACCTTGGGGATGAGGGAGAAAGGTTGGAATGCATATGCTAGAAGTCCTTCCCAGGAGACGTGTAGAGCATCAATCGCCCACACTTGGGGATGTGGATATTGAGTGCAGTAGGTTGGGAGCTTGGTGTTCAGGTGGGACACAAAGAGATCCACGTGAGGCCTGTCGATCATGTGGAATAGTGTCTTGACCATCTCGGGCAGAAGCGTCCACTCGGTAGGACGGACTGTGCCCTGAGACAGAGTGTCTGCTAGGTTGTTCTCTGCTCCAGGAATGTGTTTGGCGCGGAGACTGATGGAGCGTTCTGTGGACAAGTAAAGAAGGTCCTGGGTTAGGAGGTACAGGCAAGGGGAGCGAGTGCCTCCCAGATGATTGATCAGCGACGGCTGTTGCGTTGTCTGATCAGACAAGGACCATCTGCCTTCTATGATCAAGTGTAGGAGGACTTTAAAGATTGCCTGTAGTTCCACAAGGTTGATGTGGGAGCCCTGAAGGTTGGGGCCTCAGAGGCCAGAAGCTTGTTGCAGGTGAACACAGGCCCCAGCTGAGGTTCAAGGCATCTGTTGTGATCACCATGTTGTCTCAGGGTTGTAAAAGGGTCTCTCACTGACCACCTGGCAAAGTGTGGAAGAGCCAGGGTTGACATTTGAATCTGCAAGTCGACAGGGTCCCTGCTTGGCTTGAAGTGTGTAAGGAGAAAGAGTTAGAAAGGCCTTATGAGGAGACAACACCAGAGGACGAGGTCTACCATCAACCCCAGAAAGTGGAGCCATGCTCTGGTGTTAACCTGTTGTTCTTGATACATGGTGATGCACTGTGGTTCTCTACAAGATCGTCCGTAGGCATGGCGATACCATTGTGGAGATCGAGGGTTGCTCCAAGGTAGGTTGGTTTCTGGGACAAGGCGGGTCTGGAATTGTCGTGATTGATCAAGACCCCAAGTCAAGACGTAAGGTCAGTGGCAGAAATAGCCTCATTCTTGGAGCGACCAAAGATTAGCCAATCATTATGGTACTGGAAAATGAGGATGTCGAACAATGAAAGTGTGCTCCCACAGACTTTACCACTTTGGTGAATACTCTCAGAGACATGGAGAGACCGAAAGGAAGGGCACAGAACTCGTATATCTGATTTCTGTAAGACAATTGGAGGAACTTGAGATCATCAAGGTGGATGGGAATACGTAGGTAGGTGTCCTTCAAGTCAATTGAGGACGCTCATGTTGAGATGAAAAAAGACAGTATTACGGTGTGAGGAGTCTCCATCTGAAACCTCTTTGGTTGAATGAACTTGTTGAGGGGTTTCTGATTGATGATCAGTGTCCACTCTTCCGGCTCCTCCTTTGGGGTGATGAGGTCCAGTTCATTGTGACTGTCACAATGTGAGAAGTTTATAAGTCATGTTTACATTAAAATCACAAATTGGGAAATATGTAAACTGTGTTTATATAAATACTGGTAGAAAGAAAAATTATTGGGCTAAGAGTTACTTTCGGATTTGAGTTTGTCCCCACACACCCACTGCAGAGTGTAGAGGGCTATTCTAAACCAAATTTGTCAGAGAATACATAGTGGCAAGGAATGTAATGCAAATTAATCATGCTTGAGTAACTTCAGTCCAAGGCACTCCCCTGTGTGTGTGCTGTAAGGCACTACCAATGCAGCCTTAGTGGTGTATGGAAGGGTAGTCCACCTGTGTGGTGAGGTACATGTCCTGCATGTACTGTACATAGGGCGTGGCCCTGAAGAAAAGCCAGTTTGGAAATCAAACTGTAAGTTAATTTCACTTGGTTTGTATTCATGTTTATGCTTATTTTGTATAAGATAATTGTGAGCTCATTTAAAAGATGTGTTTAAATGGCCAAAAATTATTGAAAGTTATTTGGATTCTTTTTCAAAGGGTTTTCCCTGAGGGGGACTTAAAACCTTGCTGGTTCTGAGTGAACCATTTGTTTGGAGTGAACCACCCTCATTCTGAGGGAATCATTTGTTCTGAGTGGACAATCATCATTCCGAAGGGATCATTATATTTGTTATGAGTGAACAACCATCTTTCTGAATGAACGAGCTCCAGTATAGCTTTACAGTTCTTAGTGAACTAGCCACCCCACCCAGCTCGAGGTGTAACAGTACGGAGAGGTTGAAGGCCGACCATCAGGCAAGAGGGAGTACCGTCCTTCGACCTTCCTTGAAGATCAGCCCAGGTGCTGATGTTCATCCGTGCACCCAGCTGGAGACAGTTTTAATCCAGGGAGCTGGCAAACATCTTGTAGAGAACTGCACCGTACACGGGGGTGGGCATTATTCCACCCATGCAAACAGTTGACTGTTGTGAAGGTGGCCTTGTGGGGCTTGAATAATTAACTAATTAGTTGTAAAGATTTATTTATTTGTTTTATTTATTTTCACGAAACGGCCGTAGGGGGGATATAATTAGGTATTTACACATTTTACTAATTCGATCTGAAACTGGATTTGGGTTACAAGTGATTTTTTTTTTTTTGGTAGAATAAATGTTCCTTGTCTAATGAAAAAAAAACCAAACGGTTTATCGATTTTGAAGTACGATTGTTTGACCTCCCAAACTTGTGTACCTACTACCATACTGGTTAGTTATCACTGGTCCACTGAGGGGAAAGTCGGACCCCTGGTGTGACAGTGACAAGTCGATAAATTCGCACCACGGATCAGAAGCACCCATTGACTAAACTGGCTCTTCTTCCTGTGCATGCAGTGTCGGAATGACGGTCTACATGTATGAATTGGACTGTGTGATGATAGTGCAGTGTTTGTGCTTACAAGCAGCTGGTCTGTTGTGGTTATGCGCCTCTTTTCTGGTATTGATTAAAGGCAACAATTTGCAGAGTAAACATTAGTCACTCTTTTTTTGGTTTTGGTTTCGAATCAACATGATGATCAATGTATGCATGTGGTATATACAATATACATCACAGAAATAATCAGCAATGCGTGGAAACATGAAGCCTTTACGAACCTACCAGTAAAAATACATGTTTAGTCGCTTTAACACCTAGAAAAAGAAGAAAATTATGGGCATGACTCCACTATGCATTGAGATAGAGGGCACACTGCAGTTGATCAGACTTTAGCAAATGGCCCGACAGGGCTTTAAAAATATGTCAAGGTAGATGCTATTTGGGTAAGATGAATGCCACACACTGTCAAAGTTGTTTTCAGCAAGCCTGCTTACAATTGAACAAAATTCTTGCTACTAAGGAGCATCTTGTTTCTGCAGTGGCAGTGAAATATCATACCTTGTTACAAGTTTCTTCAGTCTGTCAATGTCCACATCTTTTAAGCTGGAATATTTCAAGATTCTTTCAGTCTTCTTGAACATGGTTCCAGAGCCTACACACACATTAAAATTTACAACAAGCTATCAATTTACGGGTAACCACCAAAAAGACGATTGTTAGTGTAAAAATCTTTCTACAAGTGACTTTAATAACACAGTCAGAATGAATCCCTATTTCATGGTCCCAAGTCACAGCCAGCACATCTTCTAACACAAATGCACTTGACAATTTAAATGCATTTTTCATTAATTTTTCTTTTGTTTTAAACAGAATATCTACAAACAAACATGCATATTGAAAATCAGTCTTTGTACTTTTAATTGGAAATCCTAAAATGAGCAAATCATCAGAGGGATAAAGATTCAAAAACACTCATGGTTCAGACCATGCACCATGACATTGATTTGGTTAAGTTAGAACATGGATTCTGAAAACTTGAACACTGACAGCAAAATCTTTTGGCACAGACTCATCTGCCTTGTTTGCAGCTACCAAAGCTATATCCCCCCATTTTTCCAGTATTAAGAATACTAGAATGTACGTAGTGGAATGATTTCCAGTTTTCCACTGGAAAAACTGGAAATAATTAAAATAATGCTGATTCAGACTGAGCATGACGTTTGAGGACTAACCATGATGTGTAAACAGCTCTGTAAGGATAGTCTTGGCTGATGTGATGACGACACTGGACAATGGAGGTAGATCAGCTACAAGACCACAAACTAGTTCTTTGGTTTTATGGTCTTGACTACTGCATGACTGCTTCATCAAGGCATCCAGATCTGCTGGTATGTGAACCTCTTCTATTATCTAAAAAATTGTCAAAAATTTAAAAGCAAATGAAGTGTGGGTAAATAAAAAATTTAAAGCACAAAAGATGAATTGATGATGCGTTACATGTACCTTTACACGGTGTGAAGCGTAAAATCACACATTTGGTAGGTTCAGTGGAGGGCAATTCCATGGTGTCAGACGTACATTTTAGACACTTCAACAGTGTGTGTTATTATACTTGTAATCCTGAAGGAGGTTTTGATAAAAGACATCAGCTAATTGGTACATTCATTTAATAACAAAATTTCTCACTCAGAATTATTACCTTATAGAAACTGACTCATAACATCATGGTGTCGGACGTACTCAGAGAAAGTAAATTTTGTGAGTTTCCATTTTTGTATCACAAACCTGAAGAAGTAGTTTTCCTGTGTTTAGTGTTAGCAGACCCTTGTTAATAAACTCCAAGGCAAGACACGTTTTTATCTTGTGACTTTGAGATAAAGCATTTACTATATTTGTGTCGGACGTACATTTTTTGGTGTCAGATGTACACCTCCAAACTGACTTTTCAGAATAGAAGGTAATCAGTTCAAACCCAAGCTTGTCTCATTTTTCTACCTTCATGAAGGCTTCAGTAAACTTTCCAAACCAAAAGGAAATGCCAAGCCATACAAAAATCTTCAAAAGCAACGAGAAAGGAATTGGATGATGGGGCATTCAAAGAAACAATATGAAGGAAAATATTGTCTAAAAATATTTATGCAAATTTGCTCATTTAAACAAGTCATGTACTGTCAAAAATTCAAACTAAAAAAAATTTTCTACAGTTTACAATCCTTTAGAGAAATAAATCAAATTATAAGACAATTGCATACATGTTCCTGTAAGGTGTTTTGGTCTTAGAACATGAAATCAAATATTTTTGTATGACAAATGTTACGTGTGTACTAAGCTGCAATATGAAAGATTTCCAATTCACACTTCAGAGGTTACAGTACACATGTAAAATCCAAAAAGAAGCTAAATGAGTAGATGGTTATATACCCTTTTAGATGATTGCCAAATCAAAGGAATGGGCTAGCAATCAGGCTAAGAGATTATCCTTTTCACTGAAATTTAAGACTAATGGCATAATGCTTTTAAAACTACAGTCTTACATTGTATGTTTCATAATAGGTACTGTACATGTATATACCATGGAAAGCATATACAAGTGGAACATCCCCTTTAATTCCTCAAGCAACACAAAGTGAAACCAAATGATTTTACATGTACCTTGAACAAAGGTATAAAAAACACAACTTTGTTTAGTCTTTGACAATTCTTCTTTCTTGATGTGGATTACATGTACACAACACCTACAACTTTACTTGTCTTCATCAAAGCTCACACTAACATGACTTACTTCTGAATACATGCAAAGCACATGTTTGTCCACACATGACACATGTGGAATAGCTTTGGGCCCTAATTATAACCTTTTTAGGATGTGTCCAAATAGTCAAATTTATGCAAATTAGTAAAAAACAAAAGTGAAGCCTATTTGATACTTTTACAAAATGTTGGGGCCTCATTTCCATGTATGCAAATGTGGTGGTAGTGGTTTCTGTACAGTGTAAAAGCAATGCATTGCCAGCAATGCATGGTTCTGACAGTGTCGGACGTACAGGGTGTCCGACGTACACATCTGATTCCACAATTTTTGAGTATTTGAAAAAATAATTGGGGGAGTTAAGCTAATGTCTAGAAAGAAGGAACTCATTGTGCTTTGTATTGTAAATTTGGCAGCCTTTTGCTAAAGGGTGCACTGAGGGGATAAAAAACTATGTCATTCTGGTGTCGGATGAACATACAAAAAGTAAGTGTTATAAAATAAGACATTACATAGAATTTCAAAAGGAAAATGAAAATTCATTTCTGTCATTGTTCACTTATTGGGGCACTCTTCAAACTGTAACAAAACTGGAACCAAAAAATTATTATCAGGCTAAAAAACTGAAAATCTTGAATGTTGGTAGAAATGAAGTATGTTTCATGAGAATATATACCATAAGCTTCAAAATGATATATAATTTGTCAAATTTGGACCAGTTTGAAATTTTGGCCCAGAGGTTGATGTTTTTGTGGACCTGCCCTGTAGTTACATACTGTACATGTACATGTATAGTGAGTGAATTAATGCTTTCTGATTTTTTGGGTCAAATATTACATTAAAAAAGTCAGATTTTAAGTCATACTGTCAAACATATCCAAACTTTTGGGTACAATGAGGCAACCATTTCACAAGTCAATATGGCTATTATCCTCTTCCTTGGTATTTAAGATTTGCAATATTCTAATTCTCCTACAGTCATGTAGTCATGCCATTGATAGCTAAAATTGTCCTGAATCTTCATTACATGTTACTTATACAATACTTGTAGCCATGCATGCACAGACACACACAATATTACATACATTACAAGGTTATAGGGACTACAGGCCTCACATGCAGGATTGTCGCCTTAAATCACTTGATTTATATGAACAATTTAAATCAAACGATTAAAACAATAGTTAAATCACTTTTTGCATAGAGCAAAACTGTTGCAATTTTTATATTATTTTTCAAGTGGTTTGTAAATTTTTCCAGATTTGTAAATTTTAAATGGCACATAAACTCAAGCCACTTGTTTTGATTTGAATCAGCATTTTGGATTCAATGCCTGAATTTAATATTTGTCATCAACATTTAATTTGACTTGATTTAAAGTGTCCATCTCTGGGTTGAATATCGTAAAGTATCAGTGTACATCCATCTTTTATCTTGAGTAGTTTATTGGAATGAGCAGTGTTGTTGACTCAAGTCGCTGACTCATACTCAAGCCACTATTATTTTGACTTAAGACTTGACTGGGGAAAGAACAACTTGCGACTTGACTTAACTTGACAAAAAATGACTCATGACTTGACAAAATCTGACTATACTGACAAGACTTACTCTTTTGGGGAACTTTTTCGGTTGGTAAAAAAAAATGAAGTTGGAATGGGCGGGAATCACAAAGAAGTCATTAAATCTGCAGTTCAATATTGAACCCTTGGACCGCGCACCAACTTGCTTCTGCATCCATGTGTTTGGCGGCATGTCAAGATTGGTGACAATGCTGATATACAAAGCAATCTGCAATGGATGCATGTACATGTATGGTACACACAGTGCATGCATGGTTTTAACCTATCAGACATGCACTTCAGAAGATACCATGCTTTTACAGGGACACAATGGGCCGGAATCAAATTTGAGTCTATAGGACCACTAGCCTCCTTGCTACAACCATTACACAACACGCTGGTTCTTTTCACCAAAATGAATCTGCCTGCCAATTTCCAAGAGCATGACAATCACGCTCACATGCTTTCCCGATCACATGGTTGGCACATCACCAAAACAGTGGCCCCGATACAATGTGGCCCCAATTATATGTGTTGCATGTACAAAGTTCTTACCGCTATGGCTCTGACCGCTACAAGTTGAGTTGCCAGCATTAGCAGTGGACGGCACTGTTCTCATTATTGGCACATGCGATGTATGAACAATGTGACAAGCCTAACACCTTGCATGTGGCCCTGTGGTTAGGGTTTGTAGCTTATGATCATAGGGTCGGTTTTGTACCCAGCTGGTGGCAGTGTGTTGTGATCCTGGGCAAGTCATTTTACCCCTATGTGCCCCTCTCTACCCAGGAGTAAATAGGTACCCATGAGGGCAGACACGGTTATGTTTAGCTGTTTGTGTCTTGTTTGCAATGGAAGCACTGGGCTAGTATACTCCCAAGGGAGCTGAGATGGTTTCCGGAATGTTCAGATGATGTGAGCCTAATGTGCAGGCATAATGATAACATATCGGCACCTTTGAATTGCAGATATTGTTATATACTGTGGCCCTATAAATGCTTTGTATTATTTAATTTATTTTTACTTATATAACTCTTATGACATTGAACACTCTGACTCAGTCCTGTGTACTGTAAATGTGTTATCTTTATCAGTTTATTTCTGTTCCAGAAATGGGGAAGATGTCGTGTGTATGACATAAACTATGGGTACATGTACATGAAATAAGAGAGGGCTCAAAGATGGCAGCCTGTTACCCATGAGTTTAACAGGTTAAAATGAAGTGAATCTGTTCAAGTTACATGTATTTCCCTAACTAATGCTATCGAAGATACATGTCTAACAGTGACCCTTTTAAAGAACAGACCGAGTTATAAATGTACCTGAATTAGATTTAATAGAAACAGCTAAAAAAATAATAATAATCCTTACCCTCCCTCCACGATCTCGTAACCCTCCTGTTGTGTTCAAGAACAGTACTTTCATTGCTTGGACTGCTTTTGCTACTTCTGCTGTGGCATGTACAGCATCTATGCTGACCAGTTGAGAACTGCTTGTTTCTCCAATAGAACTCAATACAGGAATATGGCCAGAACTGAGTGGATGCAATAAAATAACAATGAAGAAGGTTACCATAGTTAAACAGTGTGCCTGGAATCATACACAAATACTGGCATACATGTTTGCATGAAATGAGCCCACACTTGATTATAGTGCAACACACAAATTAAAAGCACAATGACAGCAAGTGAAGCTTGTACCTGATGCACCACTCAAGTGCTTCCTTGTTGACACAGGTAACCTTCCCCTTGGTCCCTCTTCCAATACTTTCAGCTCTGAGGACATTACTGCCAGAAAAGATGGGATGTGCTGGAGCTCCACTAGCTTCTAGGAAATTCACCATTATCATTGTTTCTGTTGTGACTTGATGACGGCTATTCTGTACATTAACAAATTATCAGCTGGTCATAACTAGGTATAAAATGGTGCAGTTCATAGGTAAAAAGGTATGTACCAGTATACTTGTACTGGTATAATAGTACACATGCATACATGTGTACAGACTAGCAGGAGGAGACAACGGAGGAGGAGGGATAAGAGACAGTTCCCTCCCTCCCCCCAAGTCCATGCACTCCCCTTCCCTTCGAAATTAGAGAAGGAAAAAAATCTGATGATACTCTGCCTTGGTTAATTTTTCAACTAAGACTGAACCCCTGTAGCAACTTGGCTACGCTACTATACATGTAGATTAGATGCCCTAATGTGCACCCACACGTACATGTACAGTACATGTAAAAGGCCACACATTGACATATTACATGTAGAAACAACTAACCAGCATTGTAAATGTTTAAGAAACTACGCATAGTACTAGGGATAATCAATGGACACCCAAAACCTTTTGAACCTTAACCCAAGTCAGTACAGTATGTACTTACAAAAATCAATTTCTAATCACTTATAATACAGACAATTAGGGAAATTCACAATAGTGTCCCTCCAAAAGTTTGCAACGAGTTGGTCAATCACAATGCGCAAAATCTGTTGACCCAATGCATGTTTGGAAAGAGTCGACAGACTTTGCGTGTTGTGATTGACCAAAGCCCTGCAAACTCTTGGAGGCACACTATCGTGAATTTCCCAAATTTTACGGAAGAGTATGGGCACATATATGTATGCAGGTTGATTCTACCAGAAAAAATGCTTGGAGTACCAAAGTACAGTGTACACCAGTACATGTACAGTGTATGTTGCCAATTACATTCCTTTGTTACAACAGATAAAAGGTAGTCAATGGATCATTACATCAGTAACTGAAATTGACTGATACTCTATTAACAACTGATAATGTATCACCAATTGCCTCATAGTCAGTTCAGTTGTATTAATATTCTACACAGGAAAATCAAAATGCACACAAGATAGAATAGAAATTGATAATTGATTGATAAGTAAAAAACTGGTAATGTATCATTTGTCACTGATACTACATGTACATGTATATCAACTGACCAATAATGGATAAGTATGGGGGAGAAGATAAGATAAAAAATTACTCATGCCATTTTTAGTATGCACACATACAATGTAAGCTCCAGTGTCTCAAAGTCTCCCAATTGGGAAGGGATGGGCAGCTACCTGTAGCACTAAACTTGCCTCATTGGTAGATCAGGCAGTTATTGGACATAAACGTGTTGGGTTTACCAGAATTGAATCTGTACTGTCTGTGCTTTTTCAAAATATTCGTCTTCTTTTCCATGTACCTTTGAAAGAATATGATGTCCTGCAACAACTAAATATGCTTGTGAGCACATCATACTGCCATGCACCCATCAAACCACTGAACTGCTAAGCATAAATGTATACATGCGTGTCATGTCCGAGTCAATCGTTGCAAATCAAGAACCACACAATTAGAATAAGACTCCCAGGCATCCCTCAATGGTCATAACTTCTGTATGTGACTGATATCTTTAAAATCCTATGTCTCAGACAATGCTTGTCTTTGGAGTTGTTTATTAAAAGGATGATTGCTGTGTGAATCTCAAATGACGATAACTTTTAACACTGCGTAACTTAAGCTTCCACAAAAAATACAATCATTTCCGCCCCTAGGCATCATAAAGCATACGTATTTCAAAGGTGTTGTATTCCTGGGCAACTTCTGAACATCCAAAAGTCGAAAACATTTAATTTAATAATAGTATCATAATAATGCAACATTCTTCTCAGCCAGTCCTTTCGAAAAAATGCTCTCTGGGCTCTGTGTCAATCTCAAGAGGAGATACCTCACACCAGCTTTCATGTATCTGCAACTGCGGCAAGATGTAATACAACGGGACTTAACTATAAGGGTCATTAGCATTTGTTTTACTCCACCACTGTAATGCTGTGGGATGTACTACATGTACGGTACATGTAAGTTTCCATGTTGTGAGATAACATTATTAACCACTAGAATACATCTGGAAGTTTTAGCCAATTTTGTTCCATTTTGAGCAGCAAGATAATTAATTGAAACTTGGTATGATCTCATAAAGCCACTTAATTAATACATGAATTTGTAAACTTAAATTAGTCTGTTGCATAATAATAATGTACAACTGTGCTACGTCGAGCAATAGCGACAATGTACACGGGGACGGATCGATCGCAGTACATTTTCAGTCACAGTTTATTAGATCATATTTGTCTCATTTTAAAAGTAATGTTGATTTTACTGCGATTTCCAGGAATTTCCAGGACTTCTGTTGAAAATTAAGCATTTTCCAGGACTTTCCAGGGTGGGTATAAACTTCCAGGATTTTCCAGGTTTTCCAGGAGGCGTGCCAACCCTGATCCATTGACAAGTGTTATGTTCTTGGTTAGAGTTTTTAACTACGTTTAGCAAGTACATTATCTGTCAATAGAAGTGTTGTGTCCATGATGGAAATAGCTGAATTCGCATCGCAAAATGTGATACATTTTGCGCAAAAAGCAAGACAAATATGAAACTGATGTGCAAGTTTTGCGAATGGAAATTTCATTTAAAATCATGCATGCGACAAGCTCCCGGTGCAGATTGGAAACCGGCCCCTCTTACAGTGACCGCTGATCAGTGCAATTTGTAGTGATGTACATGTACCACATTTCCCTTTTCTTGTTTAATATTTTACAAATGTTTAAGTCACCAACCGATCTAGGTCAAATGTAGAAATGGCATCCAAAAAAATCACGAGCAGGGACTTGCTGACAGCATTTTTTTTGGCTAATTTTCCCCTTGATTCTGTAAAAAAATTGTTTCTCCACTCAATTTTTGGCCAGAGCCATAACCAACAACCATGCTATACCATACCTGTGTCTTGTTTCAGTGTTTAGTCTTGGTGTACACATCAGTGGATATTAAAACTGTATACCACGGTATAATGGTACTGAATTAAGCCCACTTACTTTTTCCTGGTAAATGTCATCATAATGCTAATCAAAGGACAATACGATTAGCAAATTTGTTAATTTTATTTTCTTATTTCCATCACTGTGTGTCTATAGTGCACCCTCTATGGACAGAAGGCAGTGGTCCGCCATATTGTATGAAAGTGCAATGAAGATCAAAAATGTCCCACCTTCCACCTCCACTTGTACATGTACAAGTCCCAGGAACTCCTCCAGTACTGTGGAAGCAGTAGAAGGGTCTTTCTGAGATGTACATGGTTGCTTCTGGGCAGATGATTGCCAATACTGCTACACTGCCTGGGTCCCAAAGGGCAATGAATCTTTGACACATTTGTGATACTCTCACATACACAGAGGTAATTACACGCCTAGGTTCAAACTTCTTACCTGCAATAAACATTGTTGCTGAACAGTAGCATTCAGACTGCAGGCTCAATATTAAGATGAATCAGTGGATGAATATGTTAGTACCTTACGTTCTTTGGCTGTGACATGTACATGTAGGATCTGCAGGATGGAATGATCTGTGATCAACTGGTAGAAAAGACATATTCCGACAACATTCATGAGCACCTACTTTTGGAATTGGCATTGACTTTGACTTCAGCACTTACGGTACCTTGTGTAGCCAGATGGAATATGGCATGAGAGAGTCACAATCACTTCCACAAACTGTGGCCGGAGCTTCACATGCAGAAAATACAATGAATGCTACATACAAGCTTGAGTCAGGCAAAGGCACTATCGGAACAAAGGCTAGTAAGCCAAAAAACTCAATCTATGAACAGGCCAACTACAATGTAAGTGCACCAAATCCAGGCCTCACAAAATACAGTATTTTCGTTGCACCATTAGTGCTCCTGATCACAAAGTCAACTCACCTACATGTACATGTACCTACCCATGCAGCCATCAATGCTGTCTGCTCAAGCTGTTCAAAGAAAGGACATTATGCACAAGTCTGCAAATCTTCTGCTCGAGTTGCTTGCTGTACTGTCAGAGTAGGTGAACCAGATGATGAAGATCCTTACGACTGGGACACCACATGGCTCGCAACCTGACATGCGATCTCAGACTTAATTGGCTGTGACACTTGCCAGTCATTCATTATTGATACTGGCTCACCGGTATTGATCTTGCTAGTATCCCTCTTTGATACATAATTTGCTTGTGAGGCTCTACAATCAAACTCATAACTTACCTGCATGAGCCCATCAAAGTTCTAGGATGTCTGAATACTACAGTTCGTTTTGCTGGTTCCATGTTGTCCCGTGTAACGTGTGACTTCTACATAGTTGACACTGGTGATCCAATAGTGGGTACTGGACCTCATCCAGTCACTCGAGCTCCCTCTGTCTGGTGACAAAGTGACAAAGTCTGTGCATACAGACAATGACGCACAAACTCTGGACTCCTCTAAGCCGCCCTGCACACCACATGTCAGTGGATATGCAGTATCAGTGCAAGCTGATTTTCCCAAAGTTATTTGAGCCCCAGGTCAGTACAGCCCACGGTTTTGTATACAGCATAAAGGAGTGCTACTTCAGTTCAACAGAGAAAATACTGACTACCATTTGATGTACCGGTACATGTACACGACAAAGTGAAGGTAGAGCTTTTGTGCTTGGAGACAGTGGGTATCATCAAACACATAAAAGCAAGTGAGTGGGTTTCTCCAACTACTGCGCCGTACAAGAAGTCAGCAGACATTCGCTTGTGCATAGACCTCGGTCATGTCAATCGAGCCATTGTCACTGACTGATTTCCACTTTCGGATATTCAAGACTTATTTGTTGAGCTATATGTGCATGTATGCCATGCCAAGGTTTTCAGCACATTGAACGTAGTAGAAGAGTTATGTGACTTGACAGCATTCATAATGCACGAAGGATTCTTTCAATTCAAACATGTCTATTTTCGGATTGGCATCTGCACCTGTAGCTTTCCAAAAGCTCATGGCATCATTACCTCAGGGACTGCCAGGCATACAATGCTACCTGGATTACATGGTTGTGCTTGCAACCAGGTTGAACACAACCGCAACCTTCGCTCTGCACTCAAATGCATCCAGTTGCTAGTTGGCCCAATCGATGCTATAAATAACACAATGTCCCCTTGTGATGCAGCTCAGATGCACTTATTTTTTGGATTAGCATCTTATTACACAAGAGTTTTTCCCGACTTCTCCTCCTTGGTTGAGCCACTGCTTACCATGACACCCAAGGGTGCAGAAATCGTCTGGACGGAGGGAGCCAATGTTGTAGTCAAGACACTTAAGATCACACGAAACCAGCACAAGACCAACACAACACCCTCCAGTTTGAATTCACAAGTCACAAACTATTCAAATGAACTGTAACTTAAGCATTCCTTTGCCATTGTTCACACTGTTACCTGGTACTAGTGGCTGGTTTGTGTTTGGTCTTGGTGGTCCCTGTAATGTTTCTTGTTAACAGACATACACGAATATAAGGAAAGGACAGACTGTATCTACGTAAACTAACTCTGTGTCTCCAGTCATGTTTTTTCATGCAGTTGGTTGCCTTCCCACGATGCACTTGTGGGTGTTCTAATGAAAAGTATTCCCCAAATGATGTGCTATGATATATCGTTCTCAGGATACTGCATCCCTCCCTAAGTTAAATGTAGGTTGACATATCCATTACAGGTCAATTATACACTTATAAATCCCGACCTGCTGAATAGTTATAACTATTATAAAGGGAAGCCACATAAAGTCCAGTTCTGGCATATTGTTCCTTGATCTAAGCCAAGGGTTGATCAGTCTATTTAGGGACGGCATCAAAAATACAGAGACCCTTCGCACCCCTACGAACGCCAGGAACGCATTCTTTTGTTCAAGCTTCTCCACTTGGCACTCGTGAGAACGGCCCTCCCGTTCCCTTGCGTTCCTCTACAACAAAAGACCTGTCAGGGTCTGTGCACACAGCAAGATGTTGTGGCCCCCATGGTGGCATAAAACCTATGCGAAGAAAATGTGAAGTCCCTGAAACAAGAATGGTGTTCTAACAACCGTCCATGGATAGAAAATAAAATTCTCGGTGAACAGTGAACGGCGGGAAAATTAAATGTTGTGTCACCCTTCTGCTTAAGACATTTCTTTTTAATTCTCTGATGTAGAGTACTTAAACGCTGCATTCCACAAAGTAATCCTTTCTTCTTATCAGCAAAAAGATATATAATGTATAAAGTTTTGAGAGGGGGGGGCGGTGTGTTTGTTATGGAGCAGAAAGATCTTTCCAGCCTTTGAGGTTAGCCGATCGCGCCATTATTTATTTTCGGTATGTGGAGCCTGCCAATACTGAACTTGAAAAAAAAAACATTAAGCGCTTGCAATGTCAGCACTCTTTGCACTAGAATTAGGGGAAGAATTTTGAGCCCTGCCGATCGCATTATGTTTCATTCCAGGTTGTATCCCTCCCTATCAGAGCGCATTATCGCCTTCACAAATTTATTCTACCATTGCAGAGTTCTGTCATTGAGATCTAGGCAAAAACATTTCAGCCCCCAACTGGCTGCTCTTTTTGGTCAACACACACAAATAACTCTGGGACTGCGCAAGTGTATCCTACCAATGGCTGTTTTACTTGTAAAGAATCAACTTAGTAATTGGCTGAGGACGTACGATCGCTGTATCTGCCCCGAACGGCATCTTTACAGAGAGCCTGCATGACCCAAATACTTAAAAAGATACATTGTGTCTAATGGAACAATAGAGCTGTCAATCACTCCTCAGAAGACTTATTTTCCTGCAGAGCTGGGGTGGATTTATTCTAGAATTTTTTTTATCTT